TTCACTAAACTATAAATGATCGCATAGATGTAATCAGTACGTGAAAAGATGTGACGGGTTAAGCAATGATACAATAAATATATGAACCTAGGCGGCAAAGCGGAGTAGCGAAGGAAGAAGCCGCAGGTAACAGATTGTTGCCATTGGCATTGTAGATTGAGTGTACTAATCAGCCAGGAAATGACAAAAAAATATGATTTCTCTTAGCTATTGAATAGGTTTGAATTTGATCTTACTATTCAGGTGAAATACTGGTAATTCTTTCACCGTTGTTAAGTATCATGTGAAGTGTGCGTTTCAATGTCAGAAATACGTAAGCAATCGTATTTGATTCAAATGAATCTGTTTTATTCGAGAGAAACTCGGTCTCAATGGAATTTATTCATTGGGTTATTGTGGGCTTAGACTGACTTCACTCATGCAATCTCACATTCACGTCTGGGCATGGTGACCGACTTATCGATCCATCTTGACGTGATTCGCTTTCTTACCCGACCGACCGACAGAGGTCAATTAACTCCGGGTTCGTTCATTCGTACCTACGACGCACACTCGATCAACGATGATGAACATAACGTTCCCCGGGTGTGTGTGGAGGGCGGGGGGAGAACGGCCCACCCCACCCTACCGAAACATTCATCCTAGCCCGGTAACTCATTCAAAGAGTACTTTAGTTTGTTTTCGGGGAAGTGAGTTCATTCAGACTGGACGGGGTTTAGACAGATCCGGTCCAATAGGTGACATTTGACGGCCAATCTTGTGGGGTTTTCAATGGAGTGAGATTGGTTGGATTCACTTGAAGTTGAAAAGGTTTAGAGAATAGCCTGATATGTGACTGATAGAAAATCGTACAGCAAACAGACAACAAACACACAGACCAACTATTAGAGAGGTAAAGAGAGAATCCGACGCGACGTGAGGATAAGATGTATTCACAGAAATAATTCCGATATGGAGGGCAGGCGGGGGGAGAATGATACAAAGACGGTACGGCGCTACACCTGAGAGGATTATCACGATGAGTGGTTCACACCGAACGATCGCTCTGCCTGATCAGACTGAGACACTTTCATGGATCTGAATAATGTGCCCAATTGAATCATGGCATCTGCGTGTGTTTTCACGGTTGGATCTTGACGAACGGATTTGTAATGTTTTTGAACGAATTCGGCGAACACGGGACGATTTGAGACTGTCTTGTCCGGCTGCGATGATTTAGCTTCGGTTGTCGTCGAGTGGGCTAAAAACCGTCGATCCATTGCACCGGCTACGCTCGGACGCATCATTCGACCTCGAGGGGTATTCAGAAGTAATTCAAATCGGGACTGACAACGTCCACAAACCTGAGAACAGAAATTGTGATTTAGAAAGTGACTGTTGAAGATCGATACAGAACAGAGTATCTGCGATATGGACGCTCAGGGTTTCTATATCCCCATCCAACATAATATTGATCTCTTTGTATGAAAACAGATAAGTAGTAGAAATAAGCCGTTAGGACAGTAAATGTAAAACGCCAGCTAAAGTGCCGTTCATACACACCATTAACTGAATGATGCACTCTATTCTAAGTGGGGAGGGACATGTTCACAAATCGACGTGACGAAAAACGCGTGCATCAATAACGATAGCAAAGCTTCAGTTGCCCTCGAATCTGAAAAGCGTACTTCTATGAAACGGTGAGGTCAGAGATTAAATTTTTGATTGCATGAATCGTTTAGCTCGCTTTTTCATTGCATCTTTGAGTCAACCGCGTCCTGTAAAACTCTTATTACTAAGTTGAAATTCGACAATTCCGTATGGCTGATGTTTTAATGAACATACGGTTATGTATATACGCGTATCAGATGAAACAGTCCAATGGACTTCAGCTATCTGGGATACGATGCGACCGAATAACTCGTTGCAAAATATATCGGTTCGGATCGGTAATCAATCGAGTTCGACAAGCTGTGCCCGTAAACATGTCGTGCAATTGTGACAGAGTTAATTCGACCACCTGACTTGAACCATATCACGCAACTAATACTCCAATTACCGTTGAACCCAATACGCTTACAATGAATGCCATGCTATTACCAGTAACTTGTTTCTGTGTGTCTTCACCCCCCACCCACCCACCCACCCACCTAACGGATGCTAAACATAAAATATTCTGTACTAAACCAATCGTTGAAATACCGAGAACAAGATCTCTCCAGTCAATCATTATTTAAGTGTGCCACGACAACAGGAATTCATTGTTCGCGCTGTCCGGGAACCAATTATTCTTTACAAAATAATGCTGTTTGTGGCACCCTAAACAATGGTTCTTGAAACGATGATTTCATCAGATTTTACAGGTCATGAAAAATTTTATGGATAACAAGAAGCTTGTAGTTTCAAGAGTTGTTACTGGTGTGCACCGGACTTCGGAAACCCAGTCAGTAACATTCAACTTTGGTGGTTCTAGACTAATTCTATCCGACTTGAACCTGATGTGGTTCGCTAGTCCAAGTAGCTGGGCTTTAGTTATCGATCCCTATAGTCAAACAACAGGTCTCCGTGAGCACGAGGCGCACTATTCACTATTTATGCAATGGACCTCCGGAAGAATCAGTATGACAATGGGTGGGTATATTGGGTAGTGTTCGGTTACCCTTCCCTTGCAACTCATGGATTGTTCTTATGTAACCAGGCGTTTCAACTAGTCTATGCTGAGGAAACTCTACCTACTGCCGTCTCGTAGCGGAGGTGTTTTCCCATCAAAGTGAGCGAAAGAAAACCTAACTTCCGAGGATATAAACTGGTTGGTGAGCCACTGGCAGTTTACCCAGGAAAGTTGGCTACAAATCGTGACTCGTAACCAACCAAGAACAGGCGTGCGAACCAGATGAAACCACACTTGGGTGGTTACGGGCTTCATAAGAGGGAGTAGTCGAAAGTTACCTTGCTGAGGTTAGAATGGAAGAGTATACATACACGAGTACATTCGGATTCACGAGACAAACACAACGGGATGTGACCAGACATATTTCTGGGTTGTGTACGAGGGAATAACTCCACTGGAGTTTGACCATCGTGACCAATGAGTGATTGCGAGCAAACAGTGAAGGCATCACTCTCTGGCTTTTATTAAAAGCCCTCATAGGTCTACTGGAAGTGGCTCGATAAGGCCTCATTTATTCGTGAGACAGACCATCGGAGAGACATGATTTGCCGGACATTTCACTATCCGAATGATGTATAAACCATTTTGGCCACCAAAAACGGCAACATTCAACTTCTAGCTAACAAACCAGAGGGTACAACCGAAAGCCTACGACGTAACGTTTTCTTTATTTTTGACACCTAGGAATTACGTCGACAAGATACATTTTTATGGATCTTATAGAAATTTAACATCTTTCTATTAGACGCTTCAATTTCCATCTTTTTTCTACATCATCATCATGTGGCGCACAGTAATGATAGTGATGATATTATCACCACCAGGATTATACGAATTATTTGGAAAACGTGTGAGGGCAGTGACAAACAAATCATGTATTTGAGAGGTCTGTTGTGGAAAAGGAACGGTACTCCAAGGCTCAGAGTCACGATTGTACACGCTACTGGACTAAAAGCCAAGTGGAAACCGGAGCACACAGACACAATTGGACGAAACTAACCTGTCTTCTAATGTCCACAGATTTTGAGTGTCGATTAACACACGCACCACAACCGGTACATCGATAGGTGAATCGGGTTTCAATCGAGTAGGCGTGACAGACCGAGACAACCGGAAGACGGGGCCAAATACGTTGCGCTTTTTGAGACCAGTACCGCCAACGTGGACCGTGGCCATCGTTAATCCCTTCCAGAATCCAGACTGCTGCGTGACATACCTCATGCAACAGTGTGTCTCGAACACGCTCCGCGGACGTGCACACTTTGGGGGAGAGTTGAATTTCGGCCAAACGAGTCTGAGCCAACAATAGATAACAGTAAGCTCGTTTACGGTGTGTTTTAGGCTGATCAGTAAGGTATTGCCATCAGACATGAAACCAGAACCAGATTTTGCGATGCATTGGCCTGATGTTGTCACAATTTTGTGGAGAATCAACTTAGAACAGTAGATTCAGGTTTCTAGGGCTATGTTCATTCCTATGTATATATCGAAACCTAATATGACGATTTCAAAGGTGAATTCGTCGTGTATATAGCAAATGAAGCGTGAACTGCAAAGCTAGGAAGCACTGAACAGCTGTTTCGACCTGGTTGGATTTCATCTGCAGCGCGAATGCATCGACCCAACTAGAGATCCATTACTCACACGAAACAAGTAATCAGGTTGTGAATGTTTCCAACCGAGTCAACACCCGAGAGATTAGGGCTGAGATAAGCGAGGTCCATGGCCAGCTACATCGTGTAAATGAAAAAGGGCCTGATCAGCTGCCCGGTGGCCGAGTGGGTAGCATGCTCGCGTTCTGCCTGTGAATTCCGGGTTCGATGGATTAGCACTGCTGAAACAGCTGCCCAGTGCTTCCCAACTTTTCAGTTCACGCTTAATTTGCTATATACACGACGAATTCACATTCAAAATTGAATGAAATCCTCCATTACTCACATAATATGAAGAGCTTTGCACACGGTCCATGGAAATCAGAAAACTAGTAGGGAAAAAACAAATAACCCCAGCATGGTTCACGTCTTAAGGAGGCCTTGGATGGTCCACTACAGGTTTCAGGATTGAAACTATCTAATTGGTAATCAAACTTTAGCCGGTCTTAATCTTAATCCCGAAAAATGCCTTGAATATATTTTACTTCAAACCGTTCCCCATCTCCCTCCGACAATGTGCACATTTACGGAAAGCCATGTGAAGTACTTAGATGTCACACTTGAAAATACCCTTCTCTGATCTTTACATGTTCCAACTGTTGCTCGCAAGCTGAAAGTTCTCTTCCTTCATTTAAGAAGACCGCGCCATTTTTTCCTGATTTGTCAGTGACAGGAGCTTTTGTTCAACAATTTCTTCTCTCTATACCCCTTGGCGGTTCCCCTGTGAGTTTACCTGGTGTTCTGAACGTTGATTTTAAGCTGCTGAGGCGTGGATTCTCAATAATCAACCATGTTTATCAAGTTCCTTTATTCGTTCTGATTGACAATATCTGTGATACTCATATTGATGCATGCTTGAAGGTTGATGACAATATTCTGATTGCACCCAGCCTTTACACACTGATCTGTGTTCTTGCAAATCCTACCCCCTCCACTCGTCGCAAATACAAATTTATTACATCTCGGATATCTGTCTACTCTTTGGTACTCTATCTTGCCCGGAAACTGATTCACGAGAATGATCGTTCTGAACTTTCTAATGCATTTAATAGTTAATTCACATTTTTGCACGTTTGATGTCCCACCTTTTCCCCTTTTTTATGCAAGCTCGTATATAACTCGCTAAAGCTCCAAAACAATATAAGACAATACAATTATGAGGCTTGGCTCTACTACGGATCGGTGCATCGAATTAAAGTATAAAATCAAGTCCCAATCATGTGTGAACAAATTCTCCAGCCGCATTTTATCTCCATTACCATTATATTTTTAAACAAAAGACGGCTTTCGTCTGGTATATACCTACGATTTATTTTGAGGCGACGTTCTTAAGTAAGTCGGCTTCTTGGAAAACGTTACGGAAGGACTTAAGAGCCTAGTGTCTACCAGATGGCATCTCCAGGAGCGTTCAACCTTTATGCATCGAGGATGCGGTTCAGTGCAGCTGTGTATAAACGTCCAGGGTTAGCCACCCAAGCGACATTTTCTTTATCCGGGTTCTGGGGACACGTTCGATTGTGTACAGCTCCGCCGGCGGATAACCTGGATTGGTACAAGGTCTATGAATTCATCAGAGAATGTACACCGACTAGACTTAATCATTTACCTAGTGAACATCATTTGTTGAGGATCGGAAGAGTTCAGAATTTCGCAGACTACAGATTTTGTAGCATATGCCACAACATTGTCCATCAGAAATGAAACAGGACCATTTCACAAGGCAATACAGGAGAAACGAGCAAGGAAAACAATACAAATCACTCACAACATTCTTTACATCACCGGAATGGATTGTTTGTCGTTTTAAATATTTACACTGTCCGGCAGTCTTGAGTAACCTTGCATTCCAGATGATTTTCATATCTTCAGGCAGCTGGAAGTGATCCAATCAAGAATTAAAAAAATTGGGCCCGGGACGAGGGGAGGTGCAATCACTTTCATATCGCATAACGTTCTGGACAGGTATAATATGTATGAAAAGATTACTTTCTCATAAAGCTGATTGTGATGAAAAGTAGAAGAGATCAATTTTGCAATATCAAGCTAATCCAAAGCCCATTCGATTGTTCAGAGGCACCAGGCACTCTTGAAGGGCTAATCCAAGTTTGATACTTTAAAATTGATTGAACCATTCGCACAAGGTGAGGATCGTCGGCCGTGTAGCTCAGGGGTAAGAGTTTGAAGTCCCGACCCAACTGATCGCCGTTTCAGTCCTGACAGGAACACAAAAAGTACGCACTGCTGACGAGTCCCAAACAGGATAAAACAGCTGTCCAGTGCTCTTTGTTGGTTATCACAAACATTTCCATCACATGTATAATGATATAATCTTCAGGAAGGAGGAAGCGGCCAATCAAAAGACTGCCTTACAACACAGAATGACACGAAATAGGCATCGATGGTGGGACAAGAAGACACGCACTTCGGAGCGATAATTGAGTGGGCTTTACCACTCGGTTCCCACCGCACGAATTCGCCTGGGCTGAAGCATGTGCATGCTGAAACCGCACTCCTTGGTCCACTCCTCGCATTACGAAGATTGAACAAGTCCTTCTGTTTACTTTACTTGCCTGTGTAAGGTACAAATCAGATTAAGGAACGTGGTAGATTTAGTTGTACTAATTCTGTATTAGAATTCCCCAAACCCGGTGTAATAACAAACGAGAAATAATTGTCGAAGCGATACATGGGTTACTCCGTGATATACATGTCACCCCTTTTCTCGATAGGAGTGGGTTATTCTTACGATATACTGTTTTGTGCAGTTGGAAAGCACTGAATATCTGTTTTGACCTGGTTGGGTCTCATCAGCACTGCCAACCCAAGTGAGGATCGAACGCGTGGCCCTACGGGTAGAACCTAAACATACTATCATCTTCGCCACCGGATTGTACTGTTTTGTTTCAAGTTTTCTTATGTACGATATAGCGTAACACATCTGTGCAAGTGTAATGCAGGTATCACACCGTATGCATCTTAGTGCTAGCCTCCGGGTTATGGCTCGGTTGGAAACCTTGCAATCTGATTACACGTTACATGTGAGCGGTAGACGATTTGATTTTATCATACAGGAAAGTTCCTCGTGTACTTTGCAGATGAAACGTGACCTGAAACGCTATGCAGCAATTGGACAGTTCGGACCTTGTTGGGTCATCCCGGAATCAGAGGTTTTTGAAATGGTTCAGATGTACGGCCCGCAACCAGGTTACTGTTATCGATTGCGTTAAATCCGTATGGATACCATAACCAAAAAAATGGTCTGATTAGCTGCCCGGTGGTTGAGTGTGTAGCAAGCTTGAGTTCTACTTGTAAATTCATACAGATAATGAAAACCAACCAGGTCCAAGCAGCAGCAGCAGCAGCAGCAGCAGCGGCAGCAGCAGCAGCAGCGGCAGCAGCAGCAGCAGCGGCAGCAGCAGCAGCAGCAGCAGCAGCAGCAGCAGCAGCTGTCCAGTGCCTCCTAATCCTTTGTTCGCACTTCCTTTGCTCTGCAAACGACAGCTTTACGTACGATCAAAACAAATCCACCTTTCATGAAGGTTTAAGTTGCTGTGAAGCTCAATCGAACAGCTTCCAACCACTTTCAAATGGCTGACAAAGATCAGATATCCTCGTTACGTGATCACGTGAACACTAATTTTGCGATAAAGTCAAAATCAGTCTTTGATTTGCATCCATGCACTGAGAAATATCCGTTCATTATCGCTGGCTAATTGTACCCAAATAGAATACACTGGCGTTCATTAGAGATATAAAGATTTCTGGTGATCGACAATGAACTGATTCGTCGTTTGGGAGTCGTCAGCAGTGCTTACTTTCTGTGTTCCAGTCGGGACTCGAACCGCGAATATTGGAGTCGGGATTTGAAATCCTAACCACTGAGTTACACGGTGGAGTTGTGGCTATGAGCATATTTCATTGATGATGCAATAAAAAGACACGTTTCGATGCATTCACGCATTGAGTGGTGTTGTCGTTGTGACGCTAAAATAAATTTTATTGAAATAAATGGTATCAACAGACACGTATAGGTAAAACAGAATGTTACATGTGTTAATATTTCGAACAATACGGAGTGATATAGCAAAACGCCATTGATTCTCCGTTATGAATACAAAGGTTGCTTAATATCGACGCAGATGTACTCTACAAATAGCACAGTGTTGCTTAATGATTGGACAATTGCACGTTTTGTATAGCTAATATATTAGACTTTCAAATTTTGTTTATCAAATGGCAACACCGTAGCTCAACCAATCATAAGGAAGGTCGTGATGACCAAATGAACGACATTAATCAAAAAGTAAAATTGGTAATCCTATCCTACGAGATGACGCATACCACGGAGTGACACGTTACAGTCTTCGGACTACTGTGATCAATCAAGCTTCCCGGGTGACGTCAGCAAAGCGTGTACGCGTCACAGCATCTGGACTAAAAACCACAGGCTGATTGTAATAGTCAATCAGAAACCGTGCGACCCAAATGGAAGCTGAACAACGCCAAAAACACTAGCACGCGATTGGCAGAAGATTGGATGGCCACTGAACTTGTTTTGTACATATTATTCGACCCCCCTGGTTTCTTTCAATAAACGATCTGCTATTTCTGTGGCCTCTTCCTCGCATCTCGGTTAAGTGGGACACTGTCGTCTTAGTACCAGTGTGAATCAGTGCTTACGTGATTTGTAATCCGTGATTCGCATTTCGTGATTCGTATTTCGTGATCAGTGCCTACTACAATTACTACAGTTTATATATTTGAGCTAACACGATGCTTCTGGAGCACGCGCAGCTGAGGCTATATAATTTCTTGTACAGCGCTACTTTTGTGTACCAACGCCCCCAAATTTGGATTACATTTATTTGAACTGCAGTTTGCCAAAAGCCTTTTCAACAATGCCAAGATACTTTGAGTGCATCTATCCCATTTTTCCCCACCGCTTAACCGCCAATTTGAAACTCTTTGTTCGGTCGATTGAATCACGAACAAAATAGAGGAAACTTTGCCGAAAATCGGCACAGGCTGTTATTTAAGAAAGTCAAAAGTCATGTAACAATTTCCGCCCCCCCCCGCCACCCCCGTGCCCTGGGTTACACACACGAGTCCCGTTGGATCGGGTGCAGACACCCGAAATGCTTGACTTGTATTTGTCCTTCTGATTGTCCTAAATGTGGTAGGTTCACGTTTATGCCACTGCCAAAACCCCGTTTCCGGTTGAACCAGTTTTGGATTGGAACTTCGCTTTANATCATTGTCTGATTTGGCTCGCACAAGAAGATGCACCGGAGTGATGCATAACGTCCCACAGCGGTCGTGTATACTATTTTTGCATATGTGTGGGGCTGGGGGAGGCTGAAAGTGAACGGGTACGACGAGTTTCAGTGATACAGATTCTATCTTCCGATTATTCGAAGATGCATGCACTATTGCAGAATGTGTTCAGAACAAACATTTTATACGAATGCAACACGTGGTTCTTTTTTGTGGTTACCGCTGTCCGGGATTGAAAATCGGCGTTTATTGCACGGTGGACGTTCTTGACACTTTTTGGTGTCGATAATGTTGAATTCTCGGCATTTTAGAATTTTAATTGTTTAAAGTGATAGATTACGTCTATTTCACTGGGATTATTCTATCACTCGATCCCATTGTTTCATAAATACGATAAGACATTCTAATACGGTCAACGTTCACCCGGTAAATAACTGCGATCCTGGTCAATGGGCGGCCCTTTTATGACAGTCGTTTAACGATTCACCTCATCAATGTTCAAATGTGCCGCCGCTGTTCTGTAAGTTCCCTGCTAGACGGCGCAAACAACTCGTGGATTTGGTGCGGAATGAATTTTTTCTCGAGGATCGGTTCAGTTTAATGCGAGCTGCATTTTTGCGCAATAAATATGTGCGCAATACGTGTCTATCACGGAAAAAGCCGTGCGATGATACCCGAGTAGTTCTAAACAACTCACCAAAGTAGTACAGATGAATATTGAATCATTCACATTGAGAGAAAAATGATGAGATGTGGATAGCATTGTTTCACACACTTCAGTGAGCATTCTTTATTGTGATGAAAGTTCAATTCACTGGAAATTTTAGAGAGTTAGTTATCAATACAACTTACAATTCTTCTGTTACAGGTTAAGTGGGTAGATAAGCACGTAATGAATTAAGCAACACGTTTATTTTGGACGGCACATATGTAGCTGCTGGGCAATCAGAAACGGATAACACGCAGGAAGGAAGGCAGGCATACCGGCCAACACAGGCCCACATGTCACACAATATCTGTATCCCGTCAAGCCGGCATTCAAACAGTCAGCCCATTGATCAGTCAATCGATCAATCAATCTGGCCACTGACAAACGCATCAGTCAGCTGTGAGCCACAGCAATGATTGATGCACTGTGGTTTGATAATCATAATAATGATAATGTTATGATAAACGTTGTTACATCCCCCTTGTTCACTCAGTTCAAAACGATCCAATCAAAGGAATAACTACGAGCAAAATGCCTCTTAGCGATCATTAGTTGTACCGCGCAACAACCGGGTTGGATCCAACAAATTATTTGTGAAATGTGGTAACGATGAATGTTTGGACTGGGAACCCACACGATTCAGACACAAAAATGAGCAGATTTCTTCTGGTCAAGCCAAATCAAGCCAAATCTTTGTGCACACCCGAATGGGTGCGTACTCATTGTTCTCTGTATGTCGTTTTCACTATGCAGGACAAGATCAGTAGCACCCTTTGGTCAATGCTTTTGCGTTTATAGTAAAATAAACAAAAATCCTGAGTGGCCTAATAACAACTAGTGTGAACATGGTGGGAGATTGCATTTATATAATTTGATTA